CATGTATGTATGTATGTATGTATGTGTATATATATGTGTGTGTGTGTGTGTGTGTGTGTGTATGTTCAAAAGTCAATTAAGCAAACTTTGTATTGAGAAAATGTAGAGAATCAGCAACTTGCATGAAAAGTAATCAGAACAAACAACAAATTACGGAAAGAGTTTAAGAGTATGCTTATCATTGTTTAAGCATAAAATTGCCTTAAATGCCTTTGAAATAAAATCAATAAAATTTGAATTTCTAACTTTTACATTTGGCCTCTCTTTATTAATATTTCTTTAAAATATTGATCAGGGCTAGATTTTTAAATAATTCCTTATGTCTGTTTTATATATAGTTTATACAGGTAAAAGAATAGAATGAATGTTCATTACATAAATAAAACACTACTGCCTGGAAGCTTTTGCACAGCTCACTGGCATTCTTCAGTATATTTTCTTAACCAATTCAATATTTACAATTATACAGTCCTGTTTTAGCATTTTCCTAGGCATTTCATTTCATTGTTGGCCCTTTATCAAATCCTTATCAAAGAAAATGTCAAGGATTTAGGCTGACAGTAAAATTCAGCAGAGTTTGAATGTGAATCAAAACATGGCTGAATTAGCTAGAAGGATGATGACTTGAGAGCAGGCATTTGCACAAGTTGGTAGTTCTTTGTGAACAACATTCTTTATCTAATCAATATATGAAAGACAAAATTCTCTTTAATTGAATGAGTTGAATAAATAGCTATATAAATAGGTTGTGAATATTCCTAGACATAATTTTCATTCCTAGCAGTGATTTGCAGAACAGAATAGATGAACCACAACATACTTGAAAATTCTTGTAAACATGTAAAAAATAACTGTATTCCAATTGCAACCTGGGAAATTAAATCAATTATGAGAGAGAGAGAGAGAGAGAGAGAGAGAGAGAGAGAGAGAGAGAGAATTATCTCACCTCCATTCCCAAACTTACTGTATATTAAAAAGCTGTTTAGACACTAAAGAATTTTATTTTGGAATTGACGGACAAAGAGCTCAAAAAAAGTCATGGAATTTTATTTTTGTACATGATAACTTCAGCAAGATTGTTGTATGCACAAAGATGAAAAGATTTAGCACCAGCCATAATAGAAGACTGGTTGGTGAAGATAATGGAACTTTGCTGAGGTGGTAGCTAAATGGAATAATTTGAAAAGATAATATCTATATTTATTGCTTACTGGAAATACCTTATGGACTTTTGCATATAACAGAAAAATGAAGTTATGATTTATAATCTAGACAGGTTAGATTATAGAAAGAAGAAAGTTGTGCCATAACCATAGAATAATGAGAAAAATTATAATGTACTTATAACTGCTGTGAGAAAGATTGAAAGCTATTATTTTGCATCTTTTTTTCTATGTTTTCTTTTTTGGTACTTTTAGCTTTCTTTTTATTTTATTTTTTCTTAATTTATATTAATTTGTATTGGTTTTCATCTTCGTTTTAAAAAAATCTTACGTACATACAGAGAGAGAGAGAGAGAGAAAAAGAGAGTAGTTATCTCCAAAATTAGCAACCATCAATTTTCCTATATCTGTAGCCAAAAACTGTACCCTAATCAAGGAACTACCAAGTAGAAAATCATACTTCACCAAGGGTAAGCAACTATATATAAACAGGGAGCTAATGCCACATTCACTAGCACTGATACTGTTACCTAGTCAGGTAATGAAATGTCTGCAAGCAAGCCTCCAAGTTGAGAGAGCACCAAGGACTCCATAGTTTGACTTGAGCTGCAAATATTCTCCTTTCCTTTGTTGACGAAATTTCTGAGTTTTGTTAAGCAGACACAATTTGTGAGGGGTCCTTGGTGCTCTCTGACCTTGCTTGTTTTCTTGCAGACGTTTTATTACTCTAACTAGGTAACATCAGTGCTAGTAAGGAGTGCTGTTTGCTGTCAGTTTATATTCCGGTGTCTTGCCTGTCTGGGTGGGTGGGGCAGTCTTAGTGATTCTTTGTTGGGCCATTGGCTCTGTGGCAGTTTCTTGATTGGGGTATTGCTAAAAGGCACAAATTTTCTTTAGCAATTTATAGAATACTTGCATCTTTCAGAATGAATACAAAAAAGACTACCTAAAACACCACTGCAGTCAGATTATACTTTTAAAAAGTTTGTCCAGCAAATTTGATACAGCTTTCTTACATACTGGTATCCAATTAAGCATTGGAAAGCTTGCAAATCAGCCTTGTAATCTTATGAATGAATTTTTCCTCCCATCTGCTCTAACATCCACATGGGAAATTGAAAACCAGTCTGCAATGAGAGACAGGTTCTCTACAGGGCTGAAAATTTTCTTTTGTAAACAGATTTTAAGAAATCCACTCCTTTTTTGAAATAATTTCATTGTTCTATAAAATTATGTTAATAATAAGAAGAAAATACAAGTACCCTGAACAGCATTAATGTTTTGATTTTAAAATTAATAATCATAACAATTATGAAAAAGGAAAGAAAAAGAAAGGCGGTCCCTAAAAGTACTTTGACTAGAGAAATCCTTTGAGCACGTGAATGATCTTCAGCAGTGTTCTGATTTTGGAGGAAGATATAAATTGGATAAGTTGAGACTTTGATGACCTGATAGCTCTTAAAACTGCAGACTTTGAAACTGGAAGAAGAAGGTTCTCAAGAAATATTGAACATTCAAATACAGTACATCATTCTCAGAATGCTAAAGAGGAACATGAAAAAGGTGAAGCTTTTCTCAAGCTAGTTTTGAAATGAAGATAGAAAAATTTGGTTCTATACCCATGCATGATCTTCGGCATAATTCTATGTGTGCCTCACTTGGCATCATTTCAGATCTACAAAAAGTATGATTATTAGTCTTCTGCTATCCCCAATAAACACTTAGTAAGAGTTTAGTAAGAATACTGCATGCGGTTTTGATCACCATTTTTACAAAAAAATGTAAAATGTGCAAAAAGTGCAAAGAATAACTACGATGATTAAGGGCCTGAAGACAAAAAAAAAATATAAAGAATGGTTGCAGGAATTAGGTATGGCCAATCTAAAGAAAAGAAGGACTAGGGGGGGACATGATAGCAGTATTCCAGTATTTCAGGGGCTGCCACAAAGAAGAGGGGGTCAACTTATTTTCCAAGGCACCAGAAAGCAAGACAAGAAACAATGGATGGAAACTAATCAAGGAGAGAAGAACCTGGAATTAAGCAGAAACTTCCTAACAGTGAGGGCAATTAACCAGTGGAACAATTTGCTTTCAGAAGTTGTAGTGCTGCATCACTGGAGATTTTTAAGAAAAGACTGGACAACCACATATCTGAAATGGTATAGGATCTCCTGCTGCTTGAACAGGAGGTTGAACTAGAAGACCTTCAAGGTCCCTTACAATTCTATTCTGATTGATAGGGCTGGTTGGTATATGGAGACAGAAAAATGTCAAATTCAAGAGAGCACATCTACTTTTTTGATAGATATAGATCCTTTTCAAAAATATACATGATTTGGATTTCAAAGAATTTGGTTACTAAGGTTTCTAAAGAACAGATACTACCAAATACTTTTTGGATCATTATTCTCTGTGTTTGGTTTATAAAAGAAAATCTAGTTGTTTTTAATGGAGACTAAATGAAATGTTGCTATGGAAAAAAGCAATAGTGGAGGACTGTAAAAAGGAATTAAATGGATTTTTAAAAAATAATTTAGGTAAAGCCACTGATTTAAGAGTGGTTTGGGATACAAGTAAAGCTGTTATTAGAAGTTATTTAATAAATTATAACAGTGAACTCAAAAAGAATCAAGAGAAAATAGAAGCTATTTTGGATGAGATAAAGAAGAAAATAGAATTAAAGAAATTTCCAGAGAAGATAAATATTTCTCAACAAATTATCTGTCTATAGCTATATCTATGTTAATGCTAAGCTAAATAAAAATAAACATGAATTAAATAAAGCAAACAAACTGAGTTTGCTGGCATGTTAATTAGAAAAAAAAGAAATGATATTGAAATTACAAGAGGAAATTTCTGCATTAATGGACAATGTGGCCATATAAAGTAAAAAAACAACAACAACAGAACTTTATAAAATAAGTAAGATCAATTTCATAGAAAGTGCAAATAATTGTTAATGGAGATCTAACAAACCTCTGTGAGATACAAAAAGGAACAAGACAGGAATGCCCAATCTCATCTCGCTTGTTTATTTTGGCACTTGATATATTAAGTAGAGATATAAGACAAGATGAGATAATTTAGAAATTAAAGATTAAAAAAGAAATTGAAAGGTTTTTGCAGATGACTTAGTGTTGGTTTTAGGAGATCCTTTAAAGGGAATTTAAATATTAAGGGCAAATTAAAAGAATTTGATGTATTAGGTTTCAAGATTAATAAATAAAAAACAAAGATGTTATCAAAAACATAAAAATAGAAGATCAATAGAATCTATGACTATCATAGTTTTTTATATTGAGAAGGTAAAATATCACAATGACAAATATGATTGGTATGTTAATTTAATATAACTATGTTAAGATATGGAATGACTTAACAGTCGTGTTAAGAAGTGAGACACTATAGTACATCTGTCCATGCTGAAAAGATTTTCTGTAATAAAATGATGTTTTGCCTAAAATGATGTTTTTGTTTGAAACAATACCTGTCTTGACAATTGATGTACCATTTAAACAGTGGCAATAGGTTACATCTAAATTTGCGTGACAGAGGGAAAAATATCTGCAAATTAAATATAAATTGTTACAAGATGCAAAGGAAAGAGTAGGGTCTACCTAATAAAATATAAAATGGTAGGCAATCTATATAATTTCTATATAATTTTCTGTGTTACATTCTCTACCATTTTCTCTTGTGAGCAGGAATACATTCAGCTGTCAAGTGTTCTTCAACTACAAGAAGCCATTTCCTCATGGATGACAGGAATTGATCCTTGCCTTGACTGTAGTCTCTCCATAATATGTCTCCCTTTTTCCAGTTCTCTCTAGAGAACTGTTGTGGGACCTGCTGCCTAAATGGGATAAACTTCACATAACTGGATGATGAGTCCTCAATGCAGCTTCTGTCAATGTTTCACTCATGATCTTGTTCAGGATATCATTACAGGTTTGGCAGAAGTGCTGAAGAGAAGGACACAGAAATGCCATCTTTTACCAATATTTTTCTGCCTGGACTTTTCCAACACCTGTCAAAAAAGAACCATGACAGAAAGTTGCTTTTAAAAGCCAAACTGATTAGATCTGAAGATGGAAGACAAGTTTCAATTCTTGAATTTCAAAATGAAATCTAACCATAGATCTTCCACCCAATCAATGTCATCATCTACAAGTCCACAGAAAATGCATATAACTAATTAGAACCTGCTGTCTTGATTGAGGAATCCAGGATGAATCAAAATTGCTCTTTTGCTTGACTGGGATTGAGAGGGGGAAACAGTAATGACTAGAAATATGGTTTTTTAAAATCAATTAATTACATATTTGCATGATAAAATAGCACTGGAGTTTTGCCATCTTTATGCTTCTTTATTGCATTTTTTCAAAAACCAAAATCCTAACAGAACACATTTGAAAAAGCTTCAAAAGTTACTTGCTGATCTCTGGCCAATTTTTTTCCATTTTAAACATATCTGGTAAGTCTTGCACTTCCTCAACAGTCAATTTGGAGTTTTAGAGAGAAGGGGGAAAAAAAAACCAAGAGAGAAGATGGAAAATTACTTATATGTGTCCAAACAGATAATTTCATTCCCCCAAATTTGGGTGGTTTGACACATTGTTATTTAGTTTATTATACTGTCTAGTTATGATTTATATATTCGTCTTTTAAATGTTTCTCTCTTTGTGTGTTAATGGCCCAAAAGCAAAACCAATGGAGATATTTTTGATGAATATTTCTATAATTTGATTTTTCATTTTCAATTAATATGAGAAAAATAAATGGCTTCTTTAGAACTAAAGAAATATCTATGTATCAACTTTATATCTAGATTATTTTCCCCTTTTTGTTGTTTTCTTCTGTTTCTTCATTTTTAGACATCTCTTTTCACATTCATCTTTAACAACTTTTTAAAGTTCATTCCATAAGATTTCACAACATTCAGGGCTTTAAAATGATTCCTGGTGTTCTCTTTGAAAATGGTGGGCATATGTACAAAAACATATTGTCAACTAACTGGGTTTCTTGGAACTTGTACATGAGCAGTTCATGATCTGTCCAGAGAATGAAAAAATAAAACTTTTGGATCAATTATAGTCTTTTATTTTCTTTAGAACAAGAGCATCAATAACTTCATGCAAACATTCCAAATTAGATAGTGTTGTGTTAATATTGGATTAATTGACTAATTGACTTGTGCCACTTTTTAGGCAAAACAGTTAAAAGTATTTTATAATCTTACAATAATAAATCAGAGTCCTTTTCACAAAATTATAATCTCATTTACAAGTTGTATAATAGAACAGACTCCTCTAGGGTTAGTGAAGGACTTCCAAATGCTATTGTATGAAGTAAATTTTCTTCTGCCTACTTGTAAAGCACTCTAGTCTGAATTAGACTTCACAGAACTGGGTCAGTTCTTTCAATGGAAGAGCAACTTTAGCTGAATTATCACTAAAATGAGACTAAAAGAAGTTAATCCATAATTTAGGTGTATTTTTTAAAAAGAGGGAAAGAGAAATAGCAGGTTTCCCACAAATTTCTGTACTATAATTCTATTCCCTTAAGACTCTGAAAATTCTTTCTGGTTGCCTACTCCATTCAATTAATAAGTTAAAATGATCTCCCAAGATAATATCTGAAATAATGGTAAACTTTATAAAAGTGTTTTATTTTATTTCTGAAACTACTTTGAATGCAGGTGCTTGTTACTGCCAGATTTACTTCTGTTTCAACTCTGAAAATACCTAGGACAATTGATTTCTTTGAAAGCTAATGACATAAAATGCCTTGCCTACATTTCTTTCATCCCTCCTTTGCATATTCCCTTGATTGCAGGTATAAGTCTAAGCAAAGATTAGATAACAAAAATTTAATTTCCTCCCTATTTAATATTTCCAAGAATTCTCAAGTACCAGAAAAAGCATAATTTCATACATATTTCATTGGATATGCTAGTTTTACTCTAAACTATAAAACAATGATGGCACAAGAGAGTGATATCTAGCCATTGACAACTAAGTATTTTTGAACTGGCTAAATACTTGCTTTTCACCTCATGTCCATGTTCAGCTTGTAGCAGTGCCAAAGTTTTATTCAAACAACACTGTTTTTCTATTTAGGGGTGGAGTTTCTTCCGTTCAATTATGGGAGCTTCAGATGAGTCAGAATTCCAGTTTGCTTCTTGGCAGTGAACTTCTGGCAGAAACTCTGAAAAAGTTTCTTTGGGAATACATGTAAGCATAAAAAGCACTTTTATTCATGAAGAGTAAAACAGTAAATCAATTGCTCAGAAATAATCCAGTTTCTTTAAGGGAAACAAAAGATTATATGAATGGTAAACCATTCAGGGAACCATAGAGAATAAAAAAAAAGAAATAATATGTAGTTCAGTTGAAGCTTGGTTCGTATCATGACCCCATCTTTATTTGTCAATTAGATTTATAAATCCTAATCAGAATGTACTGTATAACAGAAAATCCCAATCACAGTGTATAACAGAAAACAATAAAACTATAATAAAATAATCCATTTTGATTATTTTAAAACAAGCACATGAAACTGGCATTTGTTTTTGTAAACAATGATATTATTATCTTTTGAAAGATACATGCCATTGTCAACCACAAGAGACAACTGCACATGTTTAAATGATGCATTGCCTCATTAGAAGAAACATTACATGGTAGGTGGAGAATTAGTTAACCTGGAAATGATAGAACTGGCAATAAATTAATTTACTGCTTTTTATTACATACCAGACTCTTTTATGACCAAAACTGTTCACAGGAGGAAAGCAAAGAGTGGTTTGTTTCTCTGTATTAGTTAAATTCTGCATAATGAATCTTATCAAGATTTTTCCATTTGTACTACCAATAAGGCCAAAAGATGATGCATCTTAAGAAGACAGAACTCTTGGAATAATTCTTCCAACAGGAATCCTTTATTAAGAGAAAATGGTTGCAGGCATGCTAGACAGGACTTGGGGTCCAAGCTCTCCCATTCAAGGTTTTAAGGGGTTCCCCAGTAGTCCCACCCAATCAACCCCCCTTCCAGTGATAGTTTCAAGTATCACAATTCCACCCCGTTTCTTCTTTCTTCCGTCTGGATGGAGACTTCAGATAACTACATGAAAGGCAAATACTCTTCTTTGTTAATGCTAATGTTCTCTGGATGCTAACGCTTTGAGGTTACAATAGGTTACAATAAACACACATTCAGCATTCAGCTCTTTGAAGTCTACTGAAGGAAGTGAGGGCCATAAAGCCCCTTTGTTCTCCCCCTTCTCTCCCTCTTATGGCAGAATCCAAAGAAGGCAGAATTGGGAGTTTCTATATTTGATAATTAAAGATGAAATATGATTGGATTCTGACATCCGGCCCCTCTTAACAATAAGAGAGATCCACCTGAAAGAAAACACAAGTAAAAAATTTAGTTAGGCTTGTTAGGATACTCTGTGTGAAACTTCTTCAATAGCTTCGGGGCTCTGACGTGACGTTTATGGACCCACTCATTTTGTGAGGCAGGGAGGTGTTTCCAGGCAACTAGGTACTGAGTTGTTCCATGATATCTCCTAGAGTCAAGGATCTCTTTTATTTCGAAGTGTTGTTCCCCCTCCACCATGATTGGAGGTGGTGGGGGGGGGATTTTTGGCCGTAGAGGTGACTGATGCTCTCTTTTCAGCAAGCTGCAATGAAAAATTGGGTGTATTTGCCTGAGGTTTTTGGGTAATTCTAATTCTACTGTTACTGGATTTATGATCCTTTTAATTGGAAAAGGTCCTATATATTTTGGTCCAAGTTTTTTACAGGGCTGTAGGGACTTTAGGTATTTTGTAGATAAGTACACCATTTCTCCTATAATGAATGGTGTAGGCTCAACCCTTTTTTTATCGGCTTGTGCTTTGTATGCCCGCCTAGCTTCATCTAGTGATTTTCTGACTATTGGCCAGGTGTTTTGTAGGTTTTCCATCCATTCTTTCAGTGAAGGGATCGTTGGTTCTTTTGGGGTTAACTCTGGCATAGGGTTGAAACTTTGGCCGTTGGCTATTTGAAAAGGAGTGTAGCCTGTGCTGGAGTGGACTGCATTATTGTAGGCAACTTCTGCAAAAGGAAGTAAGTCCGTCCAATCACTCTGTTGGAAATTTAAAAAACATCTCAAATATTGCTCAAGTACCGACTGGCACCGTTCCGCTTGACCATCTCCTTGAGGGTGGTGGCTAGATGTCAATCCCTGAGTGGTCCCTAAAAGGGATAAAAATTCCTTCCAAAATGCAGACGTAAATTGCACTCCCCTATCAGAGATGATGCGTTGGGGTGCCCCGTGCAATCTGTAAATGTGCTGGATGAAAAGTTTTGCTAAGGCCTTTGCAGTGGGAATTTTTTGGCAAGGGATAAAGTGCACCTGTTTGGAAAATAGGTCCGTGACTGTCCAGATAACAGTATTCCCATTGCTTTCAGGCAATTCCACTATAAAATCCATGGCTATTTCCCTCCAGGGGGCTGAGGGACTTGCCACTGGTTGTAACAGCCCTGGCGATTTCCCTTGCAACCTCTTTGCTGATGCACAGGTTGGGCAGCTGGCAACATAACTTTCTATGTCCTTTTTTATTGATGGCCACCAAAATTGCCGTTTAATTAAGTGTAAAGTTTTTACAAATCCAAAATGCCCTGCTGATTTTGTGTCATGGCAAAGTTGCATGAAAGTTAGTCTTTGAGTTGTTGGTATATATAACTTTTCCCCTACCCAAGGCAATCCGTCTCTCATTGTGCACACATGTTTGTTTTTCTGGAACCAATCATCTGTTTCCAAACTTTTTCTGAATTCAATCCCAGTTTGGCTGTCCAGTTGTGGTTTTATTTTGGCTTGGGTTCTTGTGGTTACTGGCGCTGCCAGTTGTGACTCTGCCATTATTGGTCTAGAGTCTGTGGTTCGTGCGCTGTTATATTGGGGCATGCGAGATAGTGCATCTGCCAGGAAGTTCTTTCTTCCTGGTAAATGTTTGAGCTTAAATTGGAATTGGTGAAAATGCTGGGACCAGCGGGCTTGTTTGGGATTGAGTTTCCTGGAAGTTTTCAGGGCTTCTAAATTTTTGTGATCAGTCCATACCTGGAAGGGGATTTTGTTGCCTTCCAGGAACTGTCGCCACGTGAGTAATGCCCAACGTATCCCATAAGCCTCCTTCTCCCATACGGGCCAGCGCTGTTCTGTTTCCGTGAGTTTCTTAGATGTATATGCACAGGGTTGCAATACTGCATCATCATTTTCTTGTAATAGCACAGCCCCCACTGCCACATCACTTGCATCTGCCTGTATTATGAAGGGCTTGTCCATGTCTGGGTGCCTTAGTATGGTTCGGCAGAAAAAAGTCTCTTTAGTCTCTCAAACGCTGCTTGGCACTCCATTGTCCATGTTAGTGGCTGGCTAGGTTTTACTGAGGGTGTTCCCTTCGTTTTTAGTAAGTTAGTGAGGGGCAAGGCTATCTGTGCAAATGAGGGGATGAATTGGCGGTAAAAATTTGCAAAGCCCAGGAAACTTTGTAGTTGCTTTCTTGTGCGGGGTGGTGCCCAATTTAATACTGCTTTGACCTTCTCTGGGTCCATTTCAATGCCCTGTGGGGATATGCGATAGCCTAGGTAGTCTATCCTTTCCTGGTGGAATTCGCATTTTGAGAGTTTGGCATATAGGTGAGCGGCTCGCAGCTTCTTTAAAACCGCTCTGACAAGTTTGACGTGTTCTTCTTTTGTTTCGGTAAAGATAAGAATGTCGTCCAAGTAAACAAGGACCCCCTTAAACAGGTGTTCCCTTAGAACGTCATTGATTAGTTGCATAAAGACTGCAGGGCCCCCTTGTAATCCAAATGGCAAGACTTTGAATTGATAGCACCCCATGGGGCAGTTAAATGCAGTCTTCCATTCGTCCCCTTCCTTGATTCTCACTCGATAGTAAGCTTCCCTTAAGTCTAGTTTAGAAAAATTTTCCCTTTCGATAGGTGTGACAGCATGTCTTTCATGAGGGGCAGCGGGTATAGGTTGCTTTCACTGATTGTATTCAGGGCCCTATAATCCACGCATAAACGTAAAGAGCCATCCTTCTTCTCTCTAAAAAGGACCGGGGCAGCCACTTTAGGCTTGGCTGGCTCAATGAAACCTCTCTCCAGGTTTTTTTTTATAAATCTTTCCATTTCCTCCTTCTCCTTTGGGCTCATGGAGTATAATCTGGGCTTCGGGAGTTTTGCCCCAGGCTTGAATTCAATGGTACAGTCTGTGGGTCGGTGGGGGGGAAGCTCATTCGCCCTCTCCTCACTGAAGACTTCAGCAAGGTCCCTATATTCCTCTGGTATTTCTGTTAATCTTTTTTCCTCTCCTATGGATGCTTTTTCTATTCTTGATTCTGGTAGCCTCCCTTGGGGTTTTAAGTCCATAGGGTCCCCCTTCGGGAATTTGATTTCTGTCGTCCTCCAATTTACCCAGGGGTTCCATTTTTTCAACCATTCCATCCCTAGAATCATTGGGCATTCCATACCTGGGGTCACCACAAACGTTAAGTCCTCTTCATGGTTGCCCAGGGAGAGATGTATTGGCAAAGTGGCTAGGGTAGCTGGCACCCCCCCTGCTATGGATCCATCTAGCTGGCCAAATGAGATTGGTTGTTCCAGTCTCCTGGATGGGATGCCCAGATTCCCCACTAGTGTTGGGCTAATGAGGCAGCGGGTACAGCCAGAGTCTATTAAGGCTTTCACCTTCACAGCTTCGGGCATGGGGGGGATTAATATAGTCACTGTTTTGAAGATGGGTGTGATGCATCCACTTACCAGGGGTTCGCCCTCCGAGCTGTCATCTGAGGCATCCACCGGCCCTGTGGTGTAGGCTGGAGTCCTTTCCCCTTGGTGAGCAGAGGTGGGGGTTTCTGCAATTTCCATCATTCTCATGGCCGTTTCTTTTGGCTTAGCTGAATACTTTCCGGGTTTGTTGATTGGGGATCTGTCTGGGTTGTGCTGGGGGGCCTTTGAGCGGCATTCTACAGCTCGATGCCCTTCTCTTCCGCACTTGAAACATCTCATTTGCTTCTTGGCTGTATCCGATGATTTCACCGGTTGGTGTGTCAGCTCAGGCGGGGGGCGGCTCCATTGTTTTCCTCGGCGGTGCCTCTTCAATATGTCGATCTCTGCTTCCTCTGCCAAGACGTACCATTCCTCAAGTCGATGTGGGTCCCCTCGGGGC